CTCTATATCAGAAAGGAACACTCTCGGTATCATCTATGAGCGAGGTCTGATTGGTATATACCATGATTGGTGAGTCTTATGCTTCTGGCATTCACTGTCAAATGAGATGCTGATGTGTGGGAACTGATCTTGTGTTTTCTGCAATGTTGCACTATTGGCAGGTGCGAAGGCTTCTCAACATACCCTAGGACATACGACCTGATACATGGCAATGGCATCTTCAGTTTATATCAGAACAAGTAAGCGTTCTCTGTTCTTTCTCCTGTGTTGGTAATGCAAAGGCAAATCATATCTTCTGTTAATATGTTTATGTCAAAATCGGTAGGTGTGACGCAGAAGACATTCTTCTGGAGATGGATAGGATTTTACGGCCAGAGGGTGCAGTCATACTGCGGGACAGTGCTGATGTACTGAACAAGGTTAGAAGTATGGTGGCAGGAATGCGGTGGAAGTCCAAGTTACTTGATCATGAGGATGGCCCGCATGTTCCCGAGAAGATTCTGATTTCAGTGAAAGAGTATTGGGTTGGCAGTGAAGAACAGAACAGCTGATAGGTACAGAACCATGGCTAATTAGCTATACTGGATGCCAGCCTCTTTCCCTGATGCGATCCCCTGATGCTGTTTTGTCGGTTAATAGATTTTGTTCATACTTCATACGTACAGGCTAAAGACCCATTGACGATCAGGGACATCCTAGATTTTTGCTGTGAATATATAGTAATCAGAGCGTTAAGTGAAACGTTGGCGATTTGCCAAGACATTGTGTAGGTAAACGTTCGTTTTAAAAAATGTAGGTACGAGACAATGCTTACTCGCTACTTTGCCCAGAGATTAATTATACAGTTGCACGCAAGAAGATTTTTGCGACTTTGTCTATGAACGTTATCTGTTGATAATGCATGAGATTATATTTATAGTGTATTTCTGCTTGAGCTGATAAGGGGTCACAAGGATTGAATTCTGCTTGAGCAGAAGCCAGAAGGTGTCTTGGTTGCCCTGCCCCGCTGGCCGCTGTGAGTGCACATCTTGAAACTGCCTCTTGGAAGCCTAAAATTCTGTGGGGCTTCAGTTGTGGCCTCTTGGTTGAGCCCCTGCCAAATGCTAACAAACAGTTTCGTGAGAATGTCAAAGTGAAGCTGTTATATATATATATATATATATATATTCTATAAGGATGAAACTATCTAAACGTCACTTTTCTAGTTTTTCTAGCTTTTTAGGTGAAGCCAGTGAGAATGACCCTAGGCTGCTAGGTGCATGTTTGTTTTGGACCCAAGACCCATGCTTGTTTTGCAAAGAAACACGCAGCAGTGGATCCTGCTACGAGTCAAGCTAGTCACGCCACCAGGATGGAAGGATGAGGGTGACAACAACAGTGTCGCTCTCCCTAACATGGAAGCATGGGTCCTAGGAACGTGGACAGCAACAGTGCCTGCGTATCTGGCCAAGGAGGTGTTAGTGAAACTGTTAAGACTCAGGACGTGGTAGATTAGGAACGTTATAATTCATGTCTATATCTATACCTAATAATAAAAAGGTAAAATTTCCGCTATAACTTTTTTTTGCGATAACTTTTTTTTCTACCTCTTTTTCCACTCCGTATGCTTGTATATATTTTTCCTATTCCAGTCCGGGTTCTATTCGTATTATTTTTTCTCAAATTTGGCTCGGTCTCGCTCTCACCCGTGTCCTCTCCAGTATTCCGATTTCTTTTCTATTTGCGTTAACCGAACGGAGACTAGAGTAGGAAAGGGAGTAGAAAGAAATACGGGTTTCAGATGTATAGATGCTAGAAAAAAAAGGTGAAAGGGCATTAATAGTTTTAAAAATATATCAGGGTTCCTGATGCAAAATGTTTAGAACCAAATGGGCCTCTGCTGGTGGGCTTCTTTTTCGACCTGGGCTGATTCCTTCAAGTTGGGCCAGCTTCAGTGTGGACTGGACCAAGCCCACTTTCGTTTTTCTCTTTTTCTATAAAAACAGTGTCAAACCAGTTTTGTTAGCTTCATAAAAATATGATCTATCTATAGACGTTATAAATCTTATTAGGTTGTGCTTTTTTTATTAATTCCCCAAAAAAACTTTTTTTATTAAAATATAGATTAGTTAATGGTACAACTAATTATTTCATCAACTGGAATCTTGGGCAGATATTGTCTAATGAAATCTAAATAAATGTATTTATGTAATTCCTGACGAGGGTTGTCGTGTGAAAAATCAAGAGAGGTCTCCTGTCATAATCATTGGCGGACAGACCAATCCTTGACACATCAAAAAAAAAAGTAACGGAGGTTGATATGATGCGTTAAAAAAGCTATAAAGGTCGATATCGAGTCAGAAAAACACATGGGTAGTATGAAAAATAAAATTTATGATATATTTATATCTCAATAATTATGCACTTTGCAACAGAAGGAAAAAATATGCCAAGGTGTATTTTAATTCAATACAGGTTTAATAGGACATTGTTATTTATTGCCAGCATTAACTTTATATTATGGATGTCACGGTCATCATAAAATAGATTATAAAAGCATAAAACATAAGATATGTACCATTCACATTATCGTTTTGCATAAATGTTAATAGTTTTTTTTCTCCCATTGTAACGCACGGGCATATTTTCTAGTAATAATAAAGAGGCAAAATTTTAGCCCATTTTTTTATCCATCCATTTTTTTTGTCCGTGTCCCTCCAACTCCCAGACAATGGAGAGTTTCTTCCGTCCGGACTTATATAACCCGTGCTCATACGAATTAGAATAGCTCTTATCTAGCGTGAAACGGAGTCCGATTTCAAAACGTATTGGGTCGTCCACAACAATAGGATTATGTGAAAGAAAAATTAGAAAGGAAATAAAAAGTAAAATAGTAGAACACAGTGAGGGACAAAAATCAAGTGGAACACGGAAAAACAAATCAAGAGGAGCATACGGACACGACAGGAAGAAAATCACGTAAAAAAGTTTGGGTCATGTGAATTAGGATTCTTTGTGTGATTTAATTTAATATTAAAGAAAGATTTATCTTATTTTATTATTTTCTATTTGAATTAGGATTCCTATTCAGGAAAGGTTTGTCTTATTTTTATTCTTTTATATTTGAATTAGGATTCCTATTCAGGTTATTTAGATAGATGTATCTGTTTGGATTAGGATTCCTGGCTATTCAGGTTACCTTAAAATTTATATCAAAGTCGTGCGTATGTCATATAAATAGGAGAGACGTAGATAGAACATAATAGTTCTTAATTTGACCACACAATATGTACATCCCGTTGTCATCTCTAAGGGGGCTAATTGCATGGTCGGCCTCCTCAACTGTGTGAATTGATCGAAAGGCTGGGCGGCAGAGGCCCCAACCGATGGGAGTTGTTATGTCCAGTATGTTCCCCCCTCGATTCCTGATATGTCCGGATATGCTATGATACCCCTGGATGGGTAGGAGCGGGTTGAGTTCGTATCACCGTGGAACATCTGCAGTGTCTGGTTCAGATCTATCTATTCGGCAATTCATCCGATGACTTCACCATGGCCAAAGAAGCCCCAAGAAGCATCAAACATTTCCAACTAAGGCTTTGTTTGGATGCGCATGTATTCATCTCAATCCACGTATGTTGAAGTGGATTGGAGTGAAGTTAAAGTAACTTCTATTCCAATCCACCCAACACATGTGGATTGAAGTGGATACACATAAATCTAAATAAGGCTTAAGTAATGTATCCTATATAATCTATTCATGAGGCTGAGCAATACAGTTGACTATTCCATACATTCTAGTCTTCAACATGATATCACGTTTAGATCCTTGGCCAAAAAACCTAAAGCTTGCGCTTCGACGTGCGCCCGAGGGAAATCACCCATGAGGATCTCCATAAGGCAGCACTGCTCATAACTTGCTGCTGATCGAGTTGATGGGGGCCACTAGAGAGTCTTGTCTCGATTATTGATCAAGGTTTTCTCTCTTGCGTGGTTAATAATTGATTGGTGTTTCTTTTGTTTTTTCCGATCTAAGATTGGATTGCGTTGCTCACCGGCCAATGTCTTCATGCGCCTCTACTTGGGTCTGACATTGACTACACTAGCTTTGTCCTCATCTTCTCCTGTGTGGCATGGCCAAGTTCACGGACCTTCAGGGAACTCCCTCGATCATCGATGCTTCGCTGTTTCGTCCACATGATCTTCTTCATCAGTTCGCCATGGTCACCATCAATTGGGATGCCTACACAGACCTTGTTGTCATCTCCGACCTCAGGTGATCCCATGAAGTTTGTTTGTGAATACTGGGCACCTCCTCTCCAAGCAACAAGGCATGGAGTAAACATCATTGTAAAAGCTGAATTATCAGATAAACAGCCTGTTGGAGGAAACATCATGGTAAAAGCTGATTTATCAGATAAGCGCTTTTAGTTCTTGTGGCGCCTAATAATTCCGTTCCTGTGTTGTAGCGGTAGTGCGCACGGAATGTTAGGCACCCATGCAATGCAAGACTCTGTAATCAAATAAACTCGATCAATCAAATCCCGTTTGCGACATGGAAATTATTCATTGTTTACGATCCTGGAGTGCATGCAGTAGTGGATTTCACTGAAGAGATATATATATATATATATATAGTCAAAAGTCTTCACATTAGACGGAGATAAGAGAGTGACGCAGCAACAGCGGCACTACCTTGCCTGGAGAAAATTCAACAACTGGAAACGAGGAGGCTGTCACAGACTCACAGGTCACACAGCAGAGGCAATCCACGCCCAGCTGATGAGTCAGTTCGGACATTGTAGCATCGTGGACTTGTCCCGCCATAGGTCGTCGTCCACGACTAACGTCACCCGGCCCGATCCAGTACCGCTAGCTAGCACCGTGTGGCGAGCCTGCCTCCAGGTCTGCAGCCGACGCCTCTATATATAGTGCCATCATGTAGCTAGCTTCTCTGCATACACATATCTCCATAGCGGAGGAGATCCATCGTCGTCCATCGATCAGGAGAAGGGTTCGAGATGGCGAAACAGCAGCACCAGCAGGCTGTTTGCATGGTGTTTCTGATGGCCTTTATCGTCCTCTCTGCCATGCACGCTGTCCCCGTGGAGGCAGGTGGGTTTGTATGTAGTCCCATTTTCATTTTTATTTCAGATTGCAGTTACAATTAAACTACAACTGTCCATGAACACACATGTACGCATACAATGCAGGGCGAGCGCTACGTGAGGCATCCTCTATTCCAAAATTTGACCCCCTGGACCCAAACAGTGTGCCTTCTGTGCCTGCTGGCGAGCCATACACTCGCCCAGGATGCACGAACGTCTACAATTGCCATGGAGCACCATAAGCCTTATAAGGCAGGGCAGCTAGTCCGATCCAGCGCATATAGCACATGCTTACATGGCTAAAATAAAAGCCTAGCTGCTGAGCTGCATGGGCGTCTTGTCTGCACATGAATCGTGCATATGTTATTTGCCCAAATCCTGGGATGCTAATCCCTGCGATTGAAGCAACCATGTTATTAATGATAAGTGTGTGTAAAGACATGTAAGTGGCTGGTGTAACTGACATGGTACTTCATCTGTATCTATATACATAATATTAAAGAGCTAAAATTTTTGCTATCAAATTTTTGTCCAGCCCAATCACAAGCCAGCTCAATTGAGTAGGCTTCTTGGAAGGGACAATTTACCCACGACAATTATGGAGTCGCACCGATCATCCTCGAAGCAGTTGCTTCAAAGGATCTCATAACTCAGGTCTTGTTTAGTTGGCGAATTTTTTTGAGAAATAGTACTACAACACTTTCGTTGTTATTTAGCAATTAATATTCAATCATAGTCTAATTAGGCTTAAAAGATTCGTCTCGTGAATTTCGTCTAAACTTGTAATTAGTTTTATTTTTTATTTATATTTAATGCTTTATGCATGCGTCAAAGATTCGATGTGACGGAGAATCTTAAAAAATTTTGCAAAATTTTGGGAACTAAACAGGCACTCAAAATATGGCATTGCTTTCTTTGGTGTGCCTGGGTCTAATAATGACATTAATGTCGTGAATCAGTCCCCATGTCATTGATGCATTGGAAGGTCAACACCTCAAGTTCAGTTTTCTGTTAATCGGAGCAGCTCCCAGTCGAGCCATGAGGGGGGAGCCAACTAGTAGTCGACAACTAGCAGGAGGGAGGACTAGGACTGTAGGAGGAAGGGGAACAAATAGGAGAGGAGCCTTGGAGGAAGCCAAGAACCAGCCCCATTATTCATTGATGCCGGAACTCTCAGTTAACTTGCTTTTGCACTAAAAACTCACTAAATAATTTGTATTGCTGAACCAAATCAAGTCCACGCATTGCAAGTGTCATGATTCAACATCTCTGCTCCTCGGGCACCTAACCCAATTTTGGAGCAGACTATGCTTCCCCTTTCTGAAACTTAATGATAAAGGGTTAAACTATTTTCCTTCTCCGGCCATCAGACAAATGACCGGTGGCGCCGCAGCCTGCTGGGCGCCGCCGTCCAGTTGCTTTGCTCTTCCCAGCAAGAAAATGGCACCAAACTCTTCTCTCCTCCCACCATTTCCCTCCAAGAGAGCTGCTGATCGAATAAAGTAAAGAAAAAAAAGAGGCTCTCATCCAAACCGTTCCATACCATATGGATGGTTCAGGTGCAGCCACCGCTTATCTTGCAGTAGCTGCTACTGCAAGATAAGCAGTCATTGCACCTAAGCCATCCATACAAGAACGAACGGCTTGGATGAGAGCTCTTATTTGCCCTGTTTTTTTATCATTTTGTATTTATTCTCTGCTCTCAAAGCTCGTAATCAGCTACCTTTGTTGGACTTTAAATATTTAGAGAAACTGGACAGTACATGGTCTATCATCCTAATCGGTCTTGACATAAACTTGAAGCCCAAATAAAGTATTAATACAAATCTTTGAACATGGTCCTGATTTTCTACTTTACATAGGAAAAAAGAGGTTCTCATCCAAGCCGTTCCATACTGAAAGCCCTAATTTAGTTTTGAATAATTGATGAAATCTATGGACTAATCATTGAGCTAAGTGTGTAGACAAGAGAGGATGGTCCAAAGCCAAGTGATGGAACTAAATGATGGTCATGGTGATGGTGGTGACCAAAAGAGATGATCAAGTGCTTCAACTTGGAAAAGAAGAAAGAGAAAAACAAAAAAAACAAGTGTTAATAGGTATCAAATAGGTTTTTGTTTTGGCACTCAAGACACCATAGAGGGTGCGAGTGTGTTTAGGATCGATAGTCGTACTATAAAGAGGAAAAATCTTTGGCTAAGTGGTTATCGAGTGCCACTAGGTGAAGCCATAATTGCATATGCATTAGGGACATAGTGTGCTAACAATCAACCCTTGGAAAATGCTTGAAAAAATGCTAACACACGTGCACATGAGTTATACACTTTGTGGTTAGCAACTTGGAAGCAAGGGTGAATTGTTTGAGGAGATAGAAAAAGAAAAGGAGAAGAAGTGCAGGGACCGGACCCTGGTGTCGGGTTGACCGAACCCAGGAGGGGTGAGTCCGGTCACTAACCCTAGGTCTCCGCCAAACACTGTTCATAGAGTCAGGTCACAACTTAGTGAGGCGCGCGGCGAGGCTTGTGAGGACCGGACCCTGGTGTGAGTCCGGTCATCACGATCGGACTGAGTCCGGTCACATCTTTAGCGCTCGGGAGCTCTTTGTGTTCGTTCGGACTCGTGCGTGTTTATGAGATCGAACCCTGGCTCTGTGAGTCTGGTCCGGAGCTGTTGTTTGCGAGTAACTTAAGTGACCGTTGAGATCCGATGGACATGATTCAAATCGGGGACACGTGGCACCCATTGGATGACCGGACCCTGAGGACCGGACCCTGCCCAGAGTCCAATCACAGAGTCCAGTCAGCTCTGCGCAGCCCAACGGCTCCTTGAGCCAAGGGGGCTCTATAAATAGACTTGAGCTGTCTCTAGCTCACTCACTTTTACATTTTCATCAGTGATTCATCCTTGTGAGCTAAAGCAAATACCTCCCACTCATCTCCTCCATTGATTCATCATCAAAGTGAGATTGGGAGTGATTCATAGTGCATTTGCTTGAGTGATTGCATCTAGTGGCACTTAGAGATCGTTGTGGCTATGGATTTCTTGTTACTCTTGGTGTTTGCCGACACCTAGATGGCTTGGAGCAGCGGAGGAGCTTTGGCATGAGTTGGTGATTGTTCGTGGCCATCTCCCGGTGATTGTGAGGGGTGTTGTACCTTCCCCGGCGGAGAGCCGAAAGGTAACTCTAGTGGATTGCGCGTGTCATTGAGCTACCTCATTTGTAGGTAGGTTCTTGCGGCGCCCAAGTGGTGGGCTAGGTGTGTGATACCTATTAGCCGCCGAACCACCAAGTGCTGGTCGACACAACGAGGACGTAGCTTGCCGGCAAGCAAACGAACTTCGGGATAAATCTTGATGTCATCTCTTGGTATTCATATTATGATTAATCATCTCTTGCCGGCATTGGTAACACTCTCTACCACTTGTATTACATTCATATTCACTTGTGTAGTGGTAGTTGTAGTTTGAGTAGAGTAGCTCTCTTGCTAGTTAGTTGACTAGCTTGCTTAGCCTCTAGGTAATTGTTAGCTATCTCAACTAGTGTACATTAGTGACATAGCTCTTGAGTGCATCTAGAAATCATAGCAACTAGAATTGTTGGTATAGGTGGCTTGCAACCTTTGTAGAGCTAGAACAAAATTGCATTACGTCATTTAGTGCACTAACCATTTGCTCTAGTGAATTTGTAGAGAATTTTTATAGGCAATTCATCCCTCCTCTAGCCATTTAGGACCTTTCACATACCATATAGATGGTTTGGGTGCAGTCACTGCTTATCTTGCACTAGCATCAATGACTGCATCGGATCTGCGTCCCATAACTATAGAGCACCATGAGAGGGGTACCAAAGCCCGGCCCTAAGGGGGGGTGTAACATCTCGGGTGTTTTAAATACTAAAACCTGCCATGTCATCATATGCATTGCACATCATTTTGTGTTAGTGAAAATTTTGATATGCATACACTAAAACACGTTTACCTTTATGTTGTATGTGTTGACTCGCATGGTTTGAATCAAGTTCGAAATCTTTGTATTGATTTGAATTTCGAAAACCCTAATTTCAGCATTTAAATTTACCCTGGAAAACCCCATTTCAAAATCTAAGCAAATTTTGGGGTTGAGCCTAAAAGCAAAAGTGTAGAGCTTGTCAAGGTGTACAAAGTTGGTTTTTAGAGTTTTCAAAGTTGTTTTATAAAAATTTAAGTAAATTGAAAATGCATAAATTCTCAAAGTGTCCCCTTTTGAATTCAAACTTGTATTTCAAAATGTAGACCGAATTTGGGTATGGTTATAAAAGCAAAGTTGTAGAACTTTGAATTTTGAACAACTTTTATTTTTGGAGATTTTTGAGTTACCATGCAATTTTGGGAGTAATTTGAGAAATGAGGTGAAGGGCAATTCTGTAAATACGGTGAACAGTAACCGCAGACGCCACCTCACCGACAGCGAGCTTCTATTGCGTTCCAGTCGCCGCCGTAGCAACCTTCAGCTCTACGCTAGCGTGGAGAAGGCTCCTGCGTGGCTTCTTCGTCCTTCCTGGTCACGCTTTAAAGCCATGACGCAGTCGCCGTTCTCCTCTTTCTCCTCTGTTTTTCTAGTCGCCACCGCTGCTGCTTTGTCGTGCTTGCTTCATCGCCGTAGCGCCTTTACCGTCTCGGCAAAGCCTGTCCCAGCTCCGCCTACTAATTGCGAACCCACCCAACCGAGCCTAGGTGCCAAATTTCACTGAGGACTGCCGCTCGTTGCCTTTCTTCCTCGCGGCCGGCAGCATCGTCGTCGCGTGCGCTTCACCGTGGCGGTAGCTCTACGATGAGCCTCTGCTCTTGTGAAGCCTGGTTCCAGCTTCACCGGGTTGTCATGATGCTCTGTGACCGCTTGATTGCTCTGTTTATCCTTTGCAGTCGTCGGAACACCGCCATCGACGACTGCTTGCTTCGCCGTGGCTGCTGTGCTCGTCGACCCACTTCCCAGTTGATCCTCCGGTTCGGCCATCGACTCCAGCGTGTTCGGGGTGAGCTCCTGAGTCTTCCTGGGCCATTTGTTTAACCGCTACCGGCTTTGCTTCACCAGCGTAGCGCAGCCGCTCGGCCGTGTCCGCCATGGCCGATGTCGAGCTCGGTTTCAGCTGTAATCGATGTAATTAGTGCTACCTTTAGGTGCGCCTTGTCTTGGTGATCATGTTGGTACCATCGCCGTCGCTGTTGATCCCACTGGCGGCGAGAAAATCGCCGATCAGAGCCGT